TATGCGTGTGTGCTGTGTTTGTGATTGTCATTTATGAGGAACCATGAACAGTGGAGTTTCTAACCCACTGACCAGTTCAAGACAAGCTTAACGCTTTCATAAATTACCTAGAATGGTAGATCCCAACCCATAGGTAGTCCCAATGACCACCCATTAAAAACACCACTACGGATCGCCTGGGTGGCTCAGTCTGTTAAGCATCCAACTTCAGCTCAAATCATGATCTTGTGGTTCATGGGTTTGAGCCTCACATTAAGCTCTGTGCTGACAGCTCAGAGCCTGGAGTCTGCTTCAGATTCCGTGCCTCCCTCTCTCTCTCTGCCCTCCCCCACTCACACTCTGTCTCTCTCTCTCTTTCTCAAAAATAAACATAAAAAATAAAATAAAATAAAATAAAATAAAATAAAATAAAATAAAATAAAATAAAATAAAATAAACACCACTACTGAATGAGGGTCTGTAAAAAATTAATTTTTTTAACTTCATTTATTTATTTTGAGAGAGAGAGAGAGAGAGAGAGAGAGAGAGAATCCCAAGCAGGCTCCACACTATCAGCACAGAGATCAACATGGGCCTTGATCTCATGAACCATGAGCCAAAATCAAGAATCAGATGCTGAATTAAGCCACCAAGGAGCCCTGAAAAAATTAATTTAAAAAGGAGGTCTCAAATTAAAAATAGACCTATCCTATGACCCAGCAGTAGCACTGCTAGGAATTTACCCAAGGGATACAGGAGTGCTGATGCACAGGGGCACTTGTACCCTAGTGTTTATAGCAGCACTTTCAACAATAGCCAAATTACAGAAGGATCCTAGATGTCCATCAACTGACGAGTGGATAAAGAAATTGTGGTTTATATACACAATGGAATACTATGTGGCAATGAGAAAGAATGAAATATGGCCCTTTGTAGCAATGTGGATGGAACTGGAAGGTATTATGCTGAGTGAAATAAGTCAGGCAGAGAAAGACAGACACCATATGTTTTCACTCATACGTGGATTCTGAAAAACTCAGCAGAGGACCAGCGGGGAGGGGAAGGGGGAAAGAAAAAGTTACAGAGAGGGAAGGAGGCAAACCATAAGAGACTCTTAAAAACTGAGAATAAACTGAGGGTCGGTAGGGGGTGGGAGGGAGGGGAAAGTGGGTGATGGGCATTGAGGAGGGCACCTGTGGGGATGAGCACTGGGTGTTGTATGGGAACCAATTTGACAATAAATTTCATGAAAAAAAGAAGAAGAAAAAGAAAAAGGACATCTCAGTGCAGCGCCTGGGGAGCTCAGTCAGTTAAGCATGCAACTCTTGATTTCAGTTCAGGTCATGAGCTCACAGTTCATGGGATCGAGCCCTCCATCACGCTCTGCGCTGATAGCAAAGTGTGCTTGGGATTCTCTCTCTCTCTCCTTTCCCTCTGACCCTCCCCTGCTCATGCCCGCTCCCCCCCCCCCCACTCTCACTCTCTCTCTCTCAAAATAAATAAATAAATAAACATTTTTAAAAATTTCTAAAGGACGTCTTAGGGCACCTGGATGGCTCAGTTGAGCATCCAAGTCTTGATTTCAGCTCAGATCATGATCTCACAGTTTGTGAGTTCAAGCCCCAGCATCAGGCTCTGTACTGATGGTGTGGAACCTGCTTAGGATTCTCTCTCTCCCTGTGCTCTGTCTCTCTCCCTCTCTCAAAATAAATAAATAAACTTAAAAGAAATAAAAAGGAGGTCTCATATTCAAAATGCTTTGGGAACCAATGATCTAGCAGAATATTAGGCTATAAGCTTCAGGAGGGAAGAGGCCTGTCTCATTAATCACTGCATTCTCCATTAGGTACTCAATAAATATATTGTGAAGCAATAAAGTGAAACCTTCAAGATTGTAAATAGCCTTAAAACTGTTCCAGAAATCAAAATCAAAATTAAAAGACAACAAGTTCTCAGGAGGCTGTATGAATGGGTGAAATTATGGCAAAGGAGCATCACTGGAGGCCAATTTGGTGAAGGGACATTTAGGAAAATGCAACCTTAATGACACTTTTAGAATAATGGGTTCTAAGCTAAGCAGTTCAATAAAGAGGCTTGGCCATCAGCTCAGACTATTCCCTGAAGACACCACGTTGCATGTTTTCTCACCAAATGCCCAGAAAACATGGGGCTTTGTTAGAAAGAATACTGGGAACAACACACAACTTGTGATCTTGCACTTTTTCAGAATCGCCCGGTGTCCACAGCTACATGTGCTGTTCAGTTGTGGTTCCCTTTCTTAAGAAAGGCATACCAGAGTCGGAAAAGGTCCTAAGAAACAAGAACGAAGTTATCAAGCAGATAGAAGAGCCTTCTAGTAAGAGCTTACAGATAGAACTCTTTAATTCTGGAGAGACAAAGGTTTGGGGAAAGGGGGAGGATAAGTCACATACAGATTTGTTCATCAAACCTTAAGATACTACAGAGGAGAGGGGCACCTGGGTGGCTCAGTCAGTTAAGCATCTGATTTCCGCTCAGGTCATGATCTCACAGTTCATGAGTTCGAGCCCCACTTCGGGGGAGCCCCACTTCTCTCTCTCTCTCTCTCTCTGCCCTTCACTCACTTGTGCCCTCTCTCTCTCTCTCTCTTTCACAAATAAAATACTAGAGAGAAGAATTCTGAAGTTTGAAATAAAAGATATAGACAGACAAGAAATAACTTTGCCCACTAGTCAGAAACATACTGAAGTTGTTATAGGTAAAATATATAAATGTAGTAACATCCATACTTATTTGGATCTAGAAATTAAAAAAGAAAAGGCTCTGAGGAACTAAGAAGAAGGGATTGTCACTAAACCTATGAGCTTCCTTTCCCTCAGCACCAACACTTTTGAATTTCAAATTAACATTAAACTTGGTCATCTGTTTCTTTTAACAACACTAAGTTCAGTAATGGTAGATTAATAAAAGTTCAGAAACAGGACACCCAGGGGGCAGAGGCACTCCAAAAGCATTACGAAAAATTGGATCTCGGGACACCTGTGTGGCTCAGTCGGTTGGGCCTCCAACTCTTGGTTTCGGCTCAGATCATGATCTCACACGTCGTGAGATCTGTGCTGACAGAGAGGAGCCCTGCGTGGGATTCTCTCTCTCCCTCTCTCTCTGCCCCTCCCCTACTGACACACACACACACACACACACTCTCTCTCTCTCTCTCTCTGTCTCTCTCAAAATAAACAAACTTAAAAAAAAAAAAAAAAAGAAAAGAAAAATTGGATCTCTAGTTAGTATATTGTTTAATGAGCCAAGGAAGCAAATAACATGTTCCAGATTTATACAATGAAAGTTAAAGGCAGCAAGATTCAAGGAACATTGGACTGGGAACCACAAATTCTGTTTCCTCGAATTTGCCACCGCTTGTCGGATGATGTCTAGAAGGACGGATGTGTGTATGTTTTCCAACCTGTGGGTAAACTCTTTATCCTGCTCCCACATGACTGAATGTGGCTTACACGCTGATATAATTTGTGTTCAATCACTGTTATAATGGTTTAGAGTTTACAAAGGGGTAAGTGGAAGTTACCCTCAGCTTTCTACTTTAGAAGGAGTATTCCAGAGGAAACGGAGCAAAGACTAATCCAAGCTGTCTGATGTACAGAGAAAGTGCGTGCACCCACGCTTACTCAGGACAGGCTGAGACCAGAAGGTACCTGAGCTGGTTGCCAGACGGGGGAAGTTCTGTCGCAGGAAAGGAAGCTGGGCAAGGGGAAAGAGAACGAGCGAGCAAGCGAGCGAGCGAGCTGCTGCTCCTGGGGTTGTCAGAAGCTTTAGTCTGGACTCAGGTTAAACGGTGATGAGAGAAAGACACTGAGCCCATGGGAGGTAGAGAAGGGAACTCAGTGAAATCTAATGACCTGGGAAAGGTCCCACGTTCCTGGACCCAGAATGAAGCCCCAGGCCAGGAACAGGAGAGCTAAAAGAGGAGCAAACTGGGAAGCATGAGAAGGGCTTTCACCCCTATCCCATCACAGTCACCCAGGAGGAGATCTCAGGCAGGCTTCAGTTTATGATGTAAAATTAAACTAACTCGAAGGATCTCTGAGTCCCCTACAACTATTGGATTTCTACACAAAACTTAGCTCCTAAAGTGGACCAGTGACTCTCTACCATAGACCTGTCACTGCCCTCCCGAACATGGGTCTCAGCGATCCCAAGGCACAGATGTTCTGAGTCAGTCAGCAGCCAGTGTCTCATTTCACGAGACACCTGGTATTTGAATCATCAGCAAAGCACAGCCCAAAGAGATGCTCAGCAGTAAAAGAGAGCAGGTGCCAGCGGACGGTGGACCCAGGCGAAATGGCAAAGCTTTTCACTTGTCTTCTTCTTCATCTGGTCTTAGCCCCCTTCAATGCACACTCCACCACAGCGGTTGCTGTGAAACATCTATCTGATCACAGAGACGTCCTGCTCACAGTGCCGGTCACCTGCAGGAGAGAGCTCCAAGCCTCCGCCCAGAGGGAGAGCCCACTCCCATCCGGTCTGCGCCCACCTCTCCAGCCACTTCCCAGGGTGGTTCTCGCAGACTCCCTCCCGACGATAGAATACCTGATGGCCCACCGCACTGGCCCCAGACAGTGCCTGAGCACTACTCTGCCCCAGGAGCCCCTCCTCTGCCCGCCTCCTCTGAGAGCTGTGACTCCAGGCCTCTGCCCTCCTCCTCCTCCTCCTCCACCCCCCTTCCGCCATGGCGGCACTTCCCGCAGCGGGATGGGGTCCTGGGTTTACTCATCAGTCTGTAAGCCTCTCCAGAGCTAGGGTCATGTCCTTCACCTCTATTTCTGAGACCCCCAACGCAGCTGGTCCGCAGGGACAAGCAAGCTGTCACTGCTCACTCTGGCCCAGGACAGGTCCTCAGCGCCTCCCCAAACCCCACTGGCCCTGCCCCGAGGCAGCTTCCCCTCCCCCTCCAGGCCCTTCCGCCCAAGCAAAGCTCCCACTTCCCAGGGAGAGAGTCATATCGCAAACATTCTAACAGGACTCACAGGATGTTAGAGCTGAAGGGGACCTCAGAAATGATCTGGTCCAGTGGCTTCCAAATACACGTCTGCAGATTGCTCCTGGACTGACTGCAAAAGAATAACATGGGGAGTGACTTTAACACAGAGTCCCAGGCTCCTACTAGGAGACTGCGACTCAGCAAGTCTGGGAGGGATCCCCGCGTGTTTGTGAAGCCTCCCGGTTGACTCCAGCGCCCTGGCCTCGTCCACCCTCTTCATCTTTACGTGGACAGCCTGGGCTCCGAAAGGAAAAGCTCAGGGCGCCCAGCTGGCTCAGTGGAGCAGGCGACTCTCCACCTCGGGGCTGTGAGCTGAGCCCCAGGTTGGGTGTACGGATTGCTTAAAAATAAAATCTGAAGGAAGCAAGGAAGGAAGGAAGGAAGGAAGGAAGGAAGGAAGGAAGGGAGGGAGGGAGGGAGGGAGGGAGGGAGGAAGGGAGGAAGGGGAGAGACCGAGAGGGAGGGCGGGAGGGAGGGAGGGGGGGAGGGAGGACAGAAGGAGAAGTTCACGCACCAGACATTGACCCAATGTCAGGAATGGTGCCTGGCACTGAGGACACAAAGGGAAAGCCCAGACCCTGCTCTTGAGTGCCCCCACACACGACCCACTGGAAAGCCCGGCCGCCACGAAACTGGGGGTGCCACAGAAGGCCAACAAGGGCACTGCTTTCCCACAGGCAAGGAAGGGAGAGGGACTTTGAGTGGGGTCACCTCAGTGAGCTCCCCTGGGCTCCCTTCTGTGTCCCTTACTCCTTTGAGGACACAATTTACTTTTGCTGTAGTTATTTCAGTAAATATTCCCTCTTCCGCTGTCTCATAAGCCCCCCAATAGGCACTCACTAAATTATTAAACCAATATCCCCTCAATTCAAGGTTTGGGTTTCTCCTTGGATAGGCATGTCAAAGATAATATGTCCAGAGTCTAACTCTCAATTTCCCGTGGCTTAGGCTGGGCATCCGTGAGCCCTCTCACCACCAGACCCTGCAACCAATCCAAGAGCAAATCCCGTCAAGTGTTCCTTCAAAACATCTCCAAATGCAACCGTTTCCTGCCTCCAGCCGTCACCACCTCTCCCTCCTGGGTCCCCGCAAAAGTCTGCTACCCTCGCCTCCACTGCTCATTCCCAACACAGCAGCCAGATTGCTGCTCTAGAAACACCCACCAGGGGCGCCTGGGTGGCTCAGTCAGTGAAGCATCTAACTTCAGCTCAGGTCATGATCTCAGGGTTCGTGAGTTTGAACCCCACATCAGGCTCACTGCTGTCAGCACAGAGCCCGCTTCAGATCCTCTGTCTCCCTCTCTCTCTGCCCCTCCCCTGCTGGCGCATGCACGCTCTCTCAAAAATAAACATTAAAAAAAAAACAAAAAAAAACAAAAAAAAAAAACACCCATCAGATCACATTCCTCCTGTCCTTGAACCCCTTCAACATGGTCCCATTTCACACAGAGCAAGCTCTGGCCATCACCGCAGCCTCCGTGGCCAGGAAGGTCTAAGTGCCCCGTCTCCCACACCTGTCTCTGTCACCCAGTTGGCTCGGGCGCACACAGGCCTCTGCCCTGTTCCTCAAACACACCCCTGCTCAGAGCCTTTTAGTCTACTGTTCCCTCTGCTAGGACTGCCCTTCCCCTCAGATCTTGAGGGGCTCACTGCTCACTTCCATCCAGTCTTCACTCAAATGTCCTTTTGTCAGAAGCCTCCTGTGACCAGTGTATGTAACATCCCAGTCCCCACCCTCACGGTCACACCATCAATCTCTGTCCTTTACTTGTTTTTTCTTCAAAGCCCTTCCCACCACCTGACACATTGCATAATTGCTCATGTCTTCATTGTCTCTTTTTAAGCTCCAGTGTGTTTACTGGAAGGTAATCCACCATTAGAAAGAGGGAATGATTTGACAGGCTCATCCGTCCAGAACTCAGATTGCTCAAGGAGAGCCATGGAATCCTAAGCAGGTTTATTACTAGTCAAGCAGCTGGCAAGTTTGCAACGTTATTTGTGTTTCACTTTTTAAAATTCCTTCATAAACAGACAGACCTTGAGTGGTCGGTGGGGCCTTGCCAGTGGGAAGGGGTCTGCCCAGAGTAGCACGTGGCCATGAATCCTAGGCTCCTACATGGCTGATTAAGTGAAAATGCTGGATCGGTGGAAGGGGTCTACGGGCCAACATCCCCACAATAATGTCACTCATCTTGAGGATGGAAACAGTGTGACATCAGTAGAAACGGAGGGCTACCTCTGAGCAGGGCACAGGGTAGACTTAAGTCTTAAGAAAAGGGGATACAACTCTGTGAATATACTAAAAATCATTCAGTTGTGTGCTTTAAATGGGTGAATTGCATGGGGCGCCTGGGTGGCTCAGTCAGTTGAGCATCCGACTTCAGCTCAGGTCATGATCTCGCGGTGTGTGAGTTCGAGCCCCGCGTCGGGCTCTGTGCTGACAGCTCAGAGCCTGGAGCCTGCTTCGGATTCTGTGTCTCCCTCTCTCTCTGCCCCTCCCCTGCTCATGCTCTGTCTCTCTCTTTCTAAAATAAATAGAAACATTAAAAAAAATTTTTTTAATACATAAATAAATAAATGGGTGAATTGCATGGCATGTGAATCTTATCTCAAAAAAACTGTGTTTTGTTTTGTTTTGTTTTAAGATAAAAAGAGAGGATAAAACTGGAAGGAGTTGGGATTAGGCAGCACCCGACAGCTCACTGAGATGATAGAAATGGAAACTAGGTATAGACAAAAACAAAGTTTAAACGGAGCTGAGAACTGAGACAAAAACTGATACTCTGTAACCTGCACCCCCTTTCCCTTTCATTACTTGCAAACAGATCTCAGCACTAACTGGACACTGCATTTTGTTAGAAAGGAACAGAACAGAGACTAAGAAGCAAGAGGGACAGGACTCTTCCTTGATCACACGGCCTCCTCCTCAAGGAGTCCCTCCCATTGAGTTTTGTAAAAGCATCATCTCCTAGTAGTAGGGACGCCCAAAATTAAGCAAAGAGCTGGTAGCCTCAGACCTGTTGGGAACCAAGCCTCCACTCCCTGAACAAAAGGGCCCAGCCAAGAAAACGTGGCCATTCCGCAGAATTACTTTTTCCTCATTTCTGGCACCCTCGTGTTTGGGGGCTCTGTGTATATTCTGGGTCTCATCTACCACAAGCAAAGTGAGGTCCCAGAGATTCTAAAACCAAAAGGTTTTTGGGGGACAGGGGTGAGGAGGTGGGAGCAAGGAACATGCTATTACTCTTGGGGTATCTCTGTGGTTCCCTTCTCTCTCTCTCTCTCTCTCTCTCTCTCTCTCTCACAGACACACACACACACACACACACACACACACACACACACACCCCTTCTTCCTCCCTCTTCTCTCCTTCCCCTCTCAACAGAGACCAGGTGGGGGCGCCTGGGTGGCTCAGTCGGTTAAGCGGCCGACTTCGGCTCAGGTCATGATCTCACAGTTCATGGGTTCCAGCCCCGCCTCGGGCTCTGTGCTGACAGCTCAGAGCCTGGAGCCTGCTCCAGATGCTGTGTCTCCCCCTCTCTCCCCCTTCTCTCTCCCCTCCCCTGCTCATTCTCTCTCTCAAAAATAAATAAAAACATTAATAAATAAACAGAGACCGGGTGGGCTCTTTCACCATGGCTCCTCAGACCAAGGGCAGTCAGCCTTCTTCAGGAAAGCGAGGCACCAGCCAAGGCAGCTTTTTACCAACAAGGCAATATGGCAACAGATCCGACATCTGGGTGCCCAATGGTGTGCCTGCTGTATGTGCCCCTGACATTCCAAGGGGACAGCAGAGAACAGGTATCTAAAGAAACACCTCTGTGTGCCTTTCTACCACCAGACAAAATGGAATATTAAAATTCCTTATCTTTTTAAGACACGTAATAAAATATTTACAGACAGAATGATGTGATATCTGGGATTTGTCTCGAAATGACACAGAGCAGGAGGAAAGGGCAGGGAGGGTTTTTATGAATGAAACAAGAGTTGCCACAAACAACTCCCGGACGTGGGCGAGGAGCACGTGGACGTTTATCCGTTATTGTCTCTATGTGTGTATACTTTTGCCCTCTCAGGACCGGACCCTTGCCTAGTGGACCCTGTGAGTCCAGCTAGATAACCACCAATGTCACACCCACTAGGATGGCCATTATTTTAAAAAAGAAGGAAAGAACAAGGGTCGGCAAGGGCGTGGAGAAGTTAGAACCCTTGTGCGTTGCCGGTAGGAACAAAAAAAGGTGCAGCCGCTATGGAAAACAATATGGTGGTTCCTAATGAAAATTAAACATAGAATTACCATGCGATTTATCAACTCCGCCTCTGGGTATATACCCAAAAGAACTGAACGCAGGGTCTCAAGGAGTAATCTTTATACCCACGTTCACAGCAGCATTGTTCACGATACCCAGAAAATGAAAGCAACCGTGTCCATCAATAGATGAATGGATAAACCAAATGTGATATAAACAGGCAATGGAATATTATTCAGCCTTAAAAAGGCTTAAAGTTCTGACACATGCTACAGCATGGATGAACCCTGAGGATATCATGCTAAGTGAAAACAGCCAGGCGTAAAAGGACAAATAGTGTATGATTTCGCCTAGGAATCCAGGCTCCCTAGAGTAGTCAAGGTCATGAAGGCAGAAAGTACGACAGTGCGTACCAGGGGTTGAGGGGAGAGAGGACAGGGAGTTAGTGTTTCATGGGTACAGGGTTTCATTCTGGGATGATGAAAGATTCTAGAGGGTGGTGATGGCTGTACCATCGTGAACGTACTGGAGGCTACCGAACAGTGCACTGAAAAATGGTTAAAATGGTCAGTGTCTTTACGTATATCTGGCCACAGTTTAAAAAGCAAAACACAACACCGAGGAACATAAAGATGTCACTTGTCTCTCTTCAAGGCCAGCTCAGGTCAGCCTAGACATCATACCTCAGAGAGGTTCTCAAAACAAGGGTGTGGTGAGCGTTGCTGGGAGTGTGGAGCTATGGAGAAAGGCATAACATCTGCCTAGGCACATGGTTTCCAAACACTACCTAAGGAAAGAAACAAAAGAAGATGTTTTTTAATAGGCCTGACGGCAATTGTCTAAGTTAAGGTACTAATCACAATAATAAAAGTCTAGGTCAGACCCTGAGAAAACTCTCCAAACATAAACTCAAAGGCCCATACTCAAAGATAAAACTTCTGCAGGTCCCAGACCATCTGCCCTCCCCGGCCATGATGTGGTGGTTCAGAGCACAGACTCTGCCCGGGTTCCAACCTCAGCCACGCTCACTAGCCATTTGACCTACGGAGGTTTGCTCACATCTGTGTCTCAGTGTCCCCATATGTAAAACGGGAAACTGTTGTAGGGACTCAGTGAGTTAACATCTGTAAAGTTCTTACAACACTGCCTTCAACACAGCAAATGCATGTGTTTGTTAAGTATTATGCCACAACGTCAGAGTGCCCCAGCAGGCTGCTGGATCCCCAAATGTCAGGCTGCTTGGAAGCACACACAGGGGACAGAGACAAGGGAAGGGAAGGCTGGCTACCCCTCCACACAGCTCAGGAGGCCTGCTGGAGCGGAGGAAGAGGGCCCAGGAGTGGGCAGAGGGACCGCAGCAGATACGGGGCGGGGGGGGGGGCCAGTCACAGGTGGGGAGGAGCAGGAAGGGCAAGCACTGGGCAGGGGGAAGGAATGACAGAAGATACCAAAAAGCTGGCAGAACCCATTTTTTTAAAACTCGGTGATCACGGTCACCGAGCATCAGAACCACCTCAGAACTTTAGAAACTCCTTCACGCCCGGCCACAACACCCTGAAACGTGGGTTTGATCGGCCAGTGGGAAGAAACTGGTACTGGCCCCTCGGCTCTGTGAGCCCACAAACGACAGAACGCAAAGTCACATTTCAAATTCTGCTCACGTGCACTCTTAATTCTGCATTCCCTCGCTTGACTTCATTTCTGTCTTAACTTTGAAAGGCTAGCATTTACTTGGGATTCTAAAGAGAGATAGAGACAATATTAATGGAAAAATTTAGAAGGGAAAGGAGGGACACGCACGGTCTCAATTCTACAGAAGGGAAACAACTTTTTTCCCCCCTGAACTTTCTTTTTCTTATTGGAACATCACAGTTCAAAACGTAAACTGAGAAGCAAACACTGTGCTACCCCAGTGAGGACAAAGGTCAGAGACCGGGGCGCCGGGTAGGTGGGTGTTTTACAAAAGATGTCCCAAGCAAGTTAGCTCCGGGGTGCCCCCGTCAACGTGCCCGGTCATTCACTCCAGGTTAACCTTAGCCTGCAGCCACTGGGTTCTGTCAGGTTACTCAAACTGTCCCCTGTAGCCAGGAACACAGTTGGCTACAGAGAGAGGCCGGCAAACCTCAGCATCAGGCTTCACTGACCCAGGCTGGCTGCCCCCTCCGCCCCACCCCAGTCACCCTACAACCCTTGGATTTACAGAAGCTTTACAGTTTATAAACCATGATTCCCACTTCACAGGGAACCCACCGGTCAGTGGCAGAGCCAAGAAAAACGCTCAGGCTCCCGTCCGCCCCCCAAGGACCAAGCTGTCCTTCCACCAGGAACTCTGAACTGGGAGGTCAGACTTCACATTTCAATTTTCCATCACCCTCTCTTCCCAGGGTGCCACTGGAGATGGCACACGTCTCCCGTCAATCTGCCATCGAGACATTCGCTACGACCCTTGCCGTAATTATGGCGCACCTGAGGGTGTTGTAAGACCCGGATCAGAAAACAGTGTCCTAGAACATCGTTCTCATTAGAGGGTCGTCCAACACCTGAAAGATTAGGAACTGCCAGAGCCAGAGAGACTCCAGAAAACCATTAAATTTAAGCCACTGACTCTACAAGCAAGGAAACCGAGGCCAGAGAGGTAAGGTAATGAAATGAGATAAAGTACATAAACCGAGGAGTTTTTATTACTGTGAAAGATTTTTGTTGTTCCTGGCAAGGGGACCGGCCCTCTGTCCCAGAGGGGCTCGAGTCTCTCACTCACAGTTACCCGTTCCAATGTCTCCATCAAGTGCCAGGGACAGGGCTTATTTAAATATCCTTAAAGGAGTGATTCTGGGCCTGGATGCACATTGGGCGCACTGCTAATACTAAAGCCCACATCAGGCCAATTCAATCAGAAGCTTTAGGGGCGGGGCCAGGCATTTTTTAAAACAACCACAGGGTGACAGGTGTTTCTGGGGCTGAGAACCATGGTCTGTGGACCAAAGCATGGTCCAGACTTCTGGGCCTACCTGGAAATGGACTACGTAGCAGTGGAGTGAGCCCAGGAACCTAAAGCTGTGACAGTTACCTGGTGGTTACAGAACAATGGCATCGGCCTCACATGAGTCCTAGAAATGGCACATGTGCTCCAGGTGACCCCAGAGTCCTAGATGGACTAGAAGCTGGCCCGAGAGAGGCTTCCAGACGATTCAGACCCCCAACACCAACTCTTAGCCAAGAGCCACTGCAGAAGCCCCCCGGCCTCAATACTGGCAGCGAGGGTGACGCTTCCAGAAAGAAGGGGGAGTCCACCGTGGCTCTGCACAGCTACTCCAGGCCTCCCGTCTCATTCAGGTCCCCAGTAGGCCACTCAGGCCTCCTCTCCCATACTTTCCCCACCTCACTCTGGCCCCAGCCACCCTGCCCTCCCTTGCAACTCATCCTGAAACCCCTCAAGCTTTCTGGGGCTTCAAGGACTTTGTCTCTTGTTCTTCTCTCTACCCTGCTTGCTCTTCCCTCAGATATCTGCATGGTCCTCTCTCCCACTCCTGCAGATCTCTAGTCAGGTGTCTTTTTATCAGTGAGACGTCCCAGACTTCTGTATTTAAAACAGAAAATCTGCCTCCACACCCAAACCGCCATCCCTGCTTTGTTTTTCTCCATAAGACTTTTCACCCTCTCTCATACTTTATTTTTACTTGTTATCTTTATTTTTACTTGCTACTTGTTTACACACACTAGAATATGAGCCCCATGAAGGTAAGATTTTTGTTTGTTTCCCAGGGCCTAAGATAGTGCCTGGCACATAGCAGGCACTCAAATACTTATTCTAGGAATGAACACATCAGAAACGCCAATCTCAAAACATAACTTGTACCAAAAGATCACAGAGAAGCTGATGATACCAAAATCACTTCTCCACTGATCTCATCTTGGCAAAAGCCTTTTTAAAAACAGGCTGGAGGCCTAATGAAACAGAAACCATTTAGAAATAAGTATTTCCACTCAATTAATTCAATCCAAATGGGTTTGTGAGTCAAAGACAATTTGTTTTGAGAAACAGATAAAACTATGGAGACAGAAAATGAACTTGAAAGAAGGTGATCGAACAAATGGATTTCAGATACTCCTCTGGTATGTGTGTAGTTTCGGAAGAAAAGCCAGGAGTACGGACAGCCGCTCTCAGACAGCAGAGCAGGAAGAGAAGAAAGGCTCCAGTCCCGGGTCACAGCCTCTGAGCACAGGCCCGGTGCAGGATACGACCTCACACCACCAGGCCCATCGACCTCCTGAACCTAAGGAGGTCCCTTCCCTTCCCTTCCCCTTTCTCCTACTTACACCCATCTGCTTCCAAAACTCATCTGAAGCCACGGACAATACTTTGAGCTCTACCAAGTCAGGAGTGCTGGACGCCCTTGTCAGGGCAGCCACACAGAAGCTGGGGAGCATCCTGCCATGGCCACGTCTCCCTGAGGTCATCTGCTCCACATCCTTACCCTTACACTTGTCGCCTCTTTCCTCACCCCCTCAGACTCTCCCAACGGTCGTCCCGCGTGTCTCCCGAAGACCAGTCTTCCCCAAACACCACTTTCCTCAGGTCACTCACTTTTCTCAACAGCCTCATGGGGTTTCCTCTAGCCTACCACAGCTCCAGCCTCGGGCCAGGCTTTTGACAACGTTCACATGCTAGGCCGAGGCCAAGTCGACTGACTTTATATTTCACCAGGTGCTTCTGCACCTGCCTCAAACCACCAAATCACGGCCTTCCCCTTCAACGCAGCAGTAAGAGAGAAGATTGCAGAGACCGATCAACCTGAATCAAGTCTCTAATCAACGTCCCCGCCAAGAGCATCCCCACTCTCCACACCATCCACGCCCGTTCTTTCCCTCCAGCTTCTAGCCACACTGTCCTTTCCCGCTCCATTTCCACAACACACACACACAACACACACACACACACACACACACACACACACACACACACACACACACACAC